GCATTTTTTACTGACTTAGATTCTTTTAATTCTTTAGAAAATGAAGGTTTTGAATCTGGGAAGCTGTTCAGTTTTAGTACACAGCACAGCACCGAGCACATGGTAGAAACTCAATAAATATTTGTTGACTGAATCAAAGAATGAGTGAAAATGTTGAGAATTACTTCAGGATGGCTTCCCATAGGATATTTTAAAGAGCTTTTTAGAAATAATCCCTATTCTTTCCAGTGCATCTAAGCTCAAGTGAAGATAGAAAAATGGTTTAAGTCATACTGGGCATATGGTCATTCTTCTGAATTTCTCAGAGGACCAAAGTCGAAAAGAGGAAAAGTGAAAGGTCACTTGTGTTTACCATAATTGGGTTTATGGCTAGAGTTATGGAAATTAATTTAAAGATTTAGAGGGTGATAAACCCCATATATATTACTTGTTTGTTGACATATGAGAAGTGCTGAATGAAAAATAGGGAAAGTTTTGAAACATGTTTTAGCCTTCTGTGTGGCGTGGTTGCGATGCATGGTTCTGACATTCCAGTTTTAGGCTGAGCCGCCTTTATTATTTATTTATTACATAGAAGGGGTGTGTGTGTGTGTGTGTGTGTGTGTGTGTGTGTTGGAGGGGAGCTCATTTCCTTAACACTCATCAGGGTTAAAAAATGACACCAAGGCTGTCCTGAGATGATTTCACAGCAACGAGAAGGTAGAAATATACCTAGTTACCTACAAAATCAACCTTAAAACACTCTTTAAAAAAGAGAAGTATCCCTTTTCCAAATGTGAGCTAAGCTATTCTACATGGATTTTCTTTTCTTCTGTTATTTAGAACAATACAGCTTATCTGTTTTCTGAAGGACATACTGGGAACATTTTTAAAAGTGGTTTATTGACTATATCAATGAAATAATACTTTTTTGTATTGCTTACAAAAAATCTGGAACAGCTTTTAAAATTCTTAAAGTTTTAAGGATGTTTGGTGTTTTGATGGGCAGAGTTTATAAGATAAAGTGTCCTCAAACTAATTTGATTTGCGCTGCAGTTTGCTAACAATGATGTTCTTTAGTGCCCCACAAAAACGTTTAGAGAAAATGGCCAGAATACATTTTTAAAGTTAGAATTATATTTTAAAAGTAAAATGTAAAAGTGAGATCTCTTAAGTCTACTAAAGAGTCTACATTGTTCCTAAAGAGTTAAATATATCTTTAAAAGCAAAAATTTGTAAAGTTTAGCAGTTAACTCTAGCAACTGCAACATCAAGTACTTGGTAAATATTTATTGAAAAAAAGGATATTTATTTTTGAAACGCTGTACATGTTTCAGATTTTTGTAAATCGAATCATACTTTTACATTTGTTATGAATCATTTTGTAGGACAAATAATCTCTCCCAAATTTATATTTATAGTAAACTCAGATTTTCTTAGGTCAGAATTGCTTTGAGTAAGGATACCTCTAAGATGCCTGTGTTGCATCTAAGATCTAGTTTATTCTTTTTGAGGTTGCTAAGGTACAGAGGTTTGATTTTTTTTTTTTAAGGATAACAGTTATTCACCAGTTTATAAACAATTCAGTAAAAATAGATTTCTAAGGATCTTCAATTTGTAGTTGATAAATTATTCATGCTGAAATAGTTGGCCTTGATTCTTATTCTCCTTGAGAATGTAGAATGTTTAATATGTGGAATCAACATATTAAAAGTTACAAACATAAGAGAAAAGAAAGTATTGCACTGTCAATAATGAAATAGTATACATTTGGGCATACATGAAATTTCATGTATTCAGAGCACTCTAATACAAATAATAAAATGCATTAAAATTTGGCCTAAATGAAGAATAAGCTCTAAGTCACACACAGTCTATTTTGTGGCAACCCTATTTGTGTCTCATTGTGAGTCAAAGACCTTTTTCATTTCTATTATCTTGTTTGTCTGCTGAATTCTGGCTGTGTAATTAAAGTTTTAGGATAAGTAAGAGCTCCTTTTGAATGGGTTGTCTTTGTAAGATGTTTCTACCTACTAAGTGGGAATGTAAGACTTACCTGGGGAATGAAAAACATGGAGCCACATTTGAGAGTAAATCACACTGATTTTTGAATGGATACTGGGAATCCAGCCTTCTTGTAGTTTTACCAAGAGCTGAACCAAAATCTGTAGACATCTCAGAGAGACTAATCATGGTACTGCTTCAAAATGTGGTGGCGGGAGGGAAGTTAATCTTTGTTAATAAAAAGTTTATGCAGAAAGAAGTTCAGGTATGAAGCAGAATCAATGCTTGAGAAAACAATAGACACAATATTTCCCACTGTTTTACTCTTCTCTGTTATCTATCGATTGTGATCTTTCTGACTCTGGAGGTATTTTCCAGTCGATACGAAGTTTAAGAAGTACGGAAGTGACGAATCTTCCACCCTTCTCTCCCACCACCATTCCCTTTCCAAAAGTAACTGATGTTGTTAGTTTTTGTGCATCCTTTCAGAGTTATGAATGTGATTTATCTCCAGCCCCTTCCTCTAAGTTATTATATTAAAGGATTCAAAAGATAAGGAACATAAGAAACGTAAATAGTCTGTATTACCATTTCAGAATTTCTTCTGACTGCCTAATTTCCAAGTGCTGACTGGTATGCTCATCACAAAAAATATTTAGAAGTGTTACTTTTTACCCACTTAAGAGCACAGCCTACTTGGTAGGAATGTGACCAGTTTACAGTTTGAGAGTTTATCATCGTAAGCGATATTTTTGCGACTCTAATAGTTAAGTGCCCAAGTACCTGCTAGGCTGTACTGCTTCTTGATCCAGGTCTGGTCACCTCCTTGTGACCAGAGAGTCCAGTGGTAAAGGACACAGGTTTTGGGTTGAGTGGTGAGCAAACCTCATTTTTCATGAGTAGAGGAGGAGCCTGCAATGGCTTTGTTGTCAGCCATGCTGACTGACTGGTCCCCGCAGGAACTTGCCTTTTGTTTTCTACCAAGTATTTCAGAACACACTCCCCATTTACCACCTTTCTTTGTGCCTCAAATCTCTGCCCCCACCAGTCTTACTCAGATTTCTCAAGATAATCTTGGAGAAGGGATGCTCTCATCTTCCTGTGACCAGATGGACAAACCTAGCTGTGTCTGCCCTTATTCTCTCCTTTTCCCGTCTGTGGTCCCCCTTCCTCTATCTTTTGCAATGTGAATCTCTTCTTTTTGCTGATTAATTCCTCTTAATCTATAAGATGCTCTGCAGAAGCCCTCATCTTAAAACAACAGAACTAAATAATACATCACCGATCTCACCTTCCTCAGCAGCACTCAACCCTGTCTGTCTCCCTGCTTGTCTCCCATCCCACCCTTCTCCATGGAAGCAGCCAGTGTGATCATTTAAAACTATGCCAAATCATTTAACTTCTTTGCTTTCGAAACCCATTCAAAGGCTCCCCTTTGTACTTAAAATCTATTTTCCATATATCGCCTTCAAGGTCCAGTAGGAGCTGCCTCCAGTCTCCCCCCATCCTCCTGCCTCACCTCCAGCTGCTCACCTCCTTGCCCACTCCTTTCCTTCAGTTTCCCAGATGCACCAAATTCTCCCATCCCTGTGCGACCATCTGAGAACTTCTGCCTGGAATTCTCATTCCACAACCGCTGAAGAGGCTGGCACTTCCTCATCCTCTCAGTTTGTTACCTCCTCAGTGAGTTCCTCACCAGTAGATCCAAGGAGGTCCCTCACCCTTGCTTTTCTCTGTCCCTGTGCCATGTCTGTTGACTGTGTAATACTCCATGGTTTGTTAACATTGGCCTGCTTAATATCAAGACAAGACTCTAAGTTCCATGAGGGTCAGGGCCACGTCTGCGTTGCTCGCCACTAGGCGTTGCTTGGACCGTTGTAAGCATTCCTAGTAGCTTTGTTTGTTGAGACGTATGAATGATGAATGCTGCCTTACAAACCAAGGCTTGGCTCTGGTTATCCTTTCCTTTACATAGAGCCAGTCTTTCGGTTGTGCTACATGCCCCTTTAGAATCACGGCCTTTTGGAGGTTGAAGAGACTTTGGAGGGCTTCTACTTCCTGTCGTGCATGCCCCTTCCCTCATCATCATGCTTTTCAGTGGAGCTCAGACCCAGCCTTGGGTTCTGGTGCTCTGTTGCTCAGTCTCAGCATGAGGGCGGAGGCAGCCAGTGTTGCCTTCCTCCCGTCTCCTCTGGGGGCAGGATTCTGTTGCAGTGACTGAGGAAGTGGGACTGGATGGAGCCAGAGTGCTGGGGTCTGAATGCTTTCGCTGCCACTTACTAGCTGTGTGATCTTTTGCAAGTTGTTTAATTTTCAGTGTGCCTCAGTTTCCTCATATGTAAAGATCACTTCGGGTTATGCCTTACGATACAAACCTGTGACTGCCACTCATTTGGAGCATGTAGGGATAATAGACTAGTTTAAGTGAGGACAGTTTGAAATACATACATCTGTGTGTGTGTGTGTGTGTGTGTTTTCTCATCAAGAAAGAAACCAGTACAGCAATAAGACTTCTTTCGGGTGTTCTTTTGGATGTTTTTACCCTTTGAAGGCACTTCTTATTGTTGTATTAATTACTGGTTTACAAAAAGTGTCGCTAATGTACTCAAGGAAACAGTCTGTTCCTTTAAAGGAATTAACTATTCCTTTGGCAACTGTGTCCAAATTCTAAATTTGATTAGTGAACCAAGTTTTATAGAGGGGATACCAAGGTTTACTTAATGTTAGTCTTGAGTTATAGGGTCAAAATTGATAAGGTTGAAATAATGAAACGAAGATGTTCTGTCACGGTGGATGATTTTAGAGTGGGCCCTTCCAGAATGGGCAAATGATGACCCCCGGGCTGACTGCTGTACAGCTGGAAGGTGATGTAGACCTTTCTTGGCCACAGTGACCGAGAAGCAGTGCTCAGGAAGGATTGTCCAAAGATTCCATTTATTCAGTGCTTGGGCATGGACACAGAGCAGCCAACAACATATCCATTGTAAACAATACTTTTTGAATTTTATTTTCTTCAGGATTAAAATCACCAATTGAATCTTACAAGGAGTGGAAATAATCTTGAGTAACTGCTAACAGGAGTTGGATTTAAACTGACAACTTAAAAATAGAAGGTTCGTATCACCCTAACTTTGATCCTGCCTGGCAAATTTGATTTTAGTGTGGAATTATGTACACTTAAATCATGGTGTACGCATGTGGTCAGTGCCGCTTTTCTTGTAAACAGTCCTGTTTATTTTAAAAACTTGAAAATGATAAGTTGTTTTGCTCACTCGGTTGGGGTTTATTGTAAAACCCAGATGCCAGAAAAAGAGAGCACTGTTTTTGTGCTTGAGAGCACATGAAGGGGACCATGAGTGAACTGGTAAAGGGACGGTCATGGTGCTTTTTTTTCTCTTCTGCCTGAAGAAGGAAAGCTCTGATAGTCGACAAATGGCATTGGTGGCAATTGGGAATGTGAAGGCCTTGGTGAAGGTGTCTAACACCATAATACATTTTCATTCTTATTCCTTAATGGCAATAAAAATAATGCTAGAAAGAAACAATGCTAGAGAGAAAAGTAGGAATTGTGTTGTGTTGGTAGATGACATTTATTATTAAAAGGAGAAAAAGTTGAGAACCATATGATTTCACTCATATGTGGGATATAAAACTGAAAGCATCAGACGAACAAGACAGAAACTCATGGACACGGACAACAGTTTTGTGGTTACCAGAGGTTGGAGTGGGGAGGTAGATAAGGGTAAAGAGGGTCAAATATATGGTGACAGAAGGAAATTTAACTTTGGGTGGTGGACACACAATGCAATAAATATGTGACATCATTGTACACTTAAAACCTATATAACTTTATTAATAAATTTATAAAATAAGTAAAATAATAAAATAAAGTAAAAGTCCATTTGACAACCATGGAAGAAAAATTATTGTTTTGCTCTGCTCTGTGCATTACAGCTTCATGAGTGACGGTCTCTTCCTCGGACTTCCCGGGGTGGGGCAACGTAGCTTAACAGCAGCTGATGAGCCCTGCAATCCCATGCGGCAGTTGTAGCCACAACCATGGCATCATGGAAGCATCACCTAGCCCCTCTTGATCTGCAGATGAGGAAATAAGGTGGCCTAGAGGGACCGTATGACTTGCCAAAGATCGCACAGTTGATGTGTAACAGGGATACACAAATTTTCTTACAGAAGTGAGAATTTAGCCACAAAAAAATTATCAGAAAACTATTCTAACCCACCAAGTTAGTATATATATATTTTTTTTTTACCTTTTTTTTTTTCACCCAACAATTTTTTGTTTATGGTGACATTGGTTAACAAAATCTGGTAAGTTTCAGGTGTACAATTTAACAGTAAGACATCTATATATATATTGCATTTGTGTATTCACTACCCACAGATTTCTTTCTGTCAGCACATATTTGACTCCTTTTATCCCAACTACCTCCCCGCTAGTTTTTTTTTAACTAACTTAAATTCCTCCAAGTACCTCTCAGTTGTCATCCAGGAATCCTTACAGAACCCCTTGCTTTGGCCATGGATGACGACTCTGTAGCTCTTGCTATACTTTGTAGAAATTATCTGATCATGTGTTTGTTATAAATCCTTCCTGTACATTCATCTTTAAAAGATAGAGCATAATTTAAAGTTTATTTTGTTTCAAACTTTTTTGTTCTTTATAGTAATGGAGTAACTACAAGCAATATCAACAATCCCTCTTATTTTTGCTAGAGTTTTATTTATTTATTTATATGGTGACATTGGTTAACGAAATCCAATAAGTTTCAACTGTACACTTTAACCATAAGGCATATATATATATATATTTACTCTGTATGTTCATCTCTCATAGTTAGATTTCTTTCTATCATCACATATTTGATCCCCTTTACCCTGTCTACCTCCCTCACCCGCCTCCCCGCTACCCTCTGGTAACCCCTAGTCCTTGTCCATGTCCATGAGTCTCTGTTTGTTTGTCCTATTCATTTGTTGCTTTTAGGTTTATATCCCATATGTAAGTGATATCATGTGATTTTCAACTTTTTCTGTCTGGCTTATTTCACTTAGCATGATTATCTCGAGGTCCATCCATGTTGTCGCAAATGGCAGTATTTCATCTCTTCTTATGGCTGAGTAATATTTCATTGTATATATGTACCACAGCTTCTTTATCCCATCATCTATCGTAGGATACTTCGGTTGTTTCCATGCCCTGGCCACTGTGAATAATGCTGCTATGAACATTGGTGTGCAAATATCTTTACAGATATGGGTTTTCAAGTCTTTGGAGTAAATACCCAGGAGAGAGATTGCTGGATCATCGTACATCGATTCTTAGTTTTTGAGGAACCTCCATACTGTTTTCCATAGTGGCTATACCAATTTGCAGTCCCACCAGCAGTGTATGACGGTTCCTATTTCTCCACATCCTCTCCAGCATTTGTTACTGCTTGTTCTGTTGATTATAGCCATTCTACCAGGTGTGAGATGGCATCTCATTGTGGTTTTGGTTTGCAATTCCCTAATAGCTAGTGATGTTGAGCGTCTTTTCGTATATTGATTGGCCATTTGTATGTCCTCTAGGGAGAAGTGTCTGTTCAGGTCCTCTGCCCGTTTTTTGATTGGATCATTACAGTTGATTTTTAATGACCTCTGAAAGTGCTCTTTATAAAATATTATGCTGTGACTGGAGAATGATGTTTTCAGGACATCATGGTATGTTAGAGCATATATTCTATGGGCTTTTAATTGATCTGACACAGGTTAACACCGCTGAACAAATTTGGGTGGGGTGCGGATCTGCGTGGTTGATATCAGTGTGACAGCTCACTAAAGGTGAGCAAGGCTCTTTGTTCCACTAGTGGCTAAAACATTATAGGAATGAGAATGAAATAACCTTTGTGAGCCTTAAACCGCTCCCTTGGACAAATAGGAACTGCTAACACAGACAAGAACCTGAAATCTTAGTGTTAGTGAGATTCCAAGATTGATGCATTTTTTTACATTTACTTTATTAAAAGTATATCAAAGATATAAACAAGTGTAGAAAATAATATTTCGAACATCTGTGTACCTACCAGTTATCCTTATTGTTATTTTCTATTCTTTTCCTTCCCTGCCCAGAGATCACTATTACAAATTTGATGTTTACTACTCTGAGATTCTAAATGTGACTCTTTGATGCATCCCTCAATGCAACAATCCCTGTGTAATGGGACAGGAACCATGTCTTTTGGCAACAAAACCATAGTTTTGGAGCTGTTGTGAGACCATTATGAAGATTTGAAATGTGCCAGTGAGACCAGATTGCGGAGCCAAATTCTCAGACCCTAGATTTTTGACTACCATTGACTCTTGAATAACATGGGCTTGAACTGTGCGGGTCCATGTATACATGGACTTTTTAAAATAAATGCTTATACTGTTTTCAGTCTGCAGTTGGAAGTTTGCGGATGTGAAAGGCCAACTGTATATATTGATTTATGCCATTTTATATATAGGAGACCTTATCATTAGTGCATTTTGGTGTCTGTGGGTGGGGGAGATGTCCTGGAACCACCGCCCGTGGATATAAAGGGTAATTAGAGAATCAAAAGTTGTATGCAGATTTTCAACTGGGGGTGCAGGTTGGGGCCCCAATCCCCATGTTGTTCAAGGATCAAATGTGGTCAGTATTTCTTCAAGGGAGGAGGAGGGATTGTGGCTCCTCCTCCTCCAACAGACATGGTTTAAGGAACGGTATGGTTTAGAGGTGGTACTTTTTAAACTGATTCTAATTCATAATAATAAATAAGTTTTGTATTGTGACCCTTGACACATGCATATATTCACACACACACATTCACAGAAGAACACATTTAAAAACTATTTTCTAACCATTTATTTTTTTAAAATCTTTTTTCAGTTACATTAGCATACAATATTATATTAGTTTCAGGTGTACAACATGGTGATTAGACATTTATATAACTTACGAAGTGACCACCCTGATAAATCCAGTACCCATCTGATACCATATATAGTTATTAGCATATTATTGACTATATTCCTTATGCTGTACTTCACATCTCCATGACTGTTTTGTAACTACCAATTTGTACTTCTTAATGCCTTCGCCTTTTCGCCCTCTTCCACCCTCCTCCCATCTGGCAACCATCAAAATGTTCTCTGTATCTGAGTTTGTTTCTGTTTTGTTTGTTTATTTTGTTCTTTAGATTCCACATGTAAGTGAAATCATATGGTATTTGTCTTTATCTCATGTTACAGATGGCAAGATTTTATTCTTTTTTATGGCTGAGTAATATTCCATTGTATGTATGCACCACCTCTTCTTTATCCATTTATTCATTGATGGACACCCAAGTTGCCTCCATATCTTGGCTATTGTAAATAATGCTGTAATGAACTTATAGATTCATATGTCCCTTCAAAGTAGTGTTTTGGGTTTGTTCGGATAAATACTCAGAAGTAGGATTCCTGGGTCCTTCTTTGTCTCTTGTGATAGCCTTGGTTTTAAAATCTATTTTGTCTGGTATAAGTATTGCTACCCCAGCTTCTCCCCCCACCCCCTGCCCATTTTCATGAAATATCTTTTTCCATCCCTTTACTTTTAGTCTGTGTGTCTTTCAATCTGAAGTGAGTCTCTCGTAGGCAGCATATGTAAAGGTGTTGTTTTTTTATCTATTTAGTCACCCCGTCTTTTGACTAGAGCATTCAGTCCAATCACATTCAAATCAATTGTTGATAGATATTGCCATTTTATTATTCATATTTACCTTTTCTTCTTCTTCTTCTTCTTCTTCTTCTTCT